CCTCTGTTGAAAAGGAGACAATTCTATAAAAAATAATAATATGGCCCTTCTTCTTTGGCAGAAAACTCCAAAATGGTCCGGGATCAGCCCAGAACCCGCCCAGGACCAGTCTAGGACCAGTCCAGGACCAGTCTAGGACCAGTCTAGGACCAGTCTAGAACCAGTACAGAACCAGCCCTCTGTTGAAAAGGAGACAATTCTATAAAAAATAATAATATGGCCCTTCTTCTTTGGCAGAAAACTCCAAAATGGTCCAGGATCAGCCCAGAACCAGCCCAGGACCAGTCTAGAACCAGTCCAGAACCAGCCCTCTGTGGAAAAGAAGAGAATTCTATTGGTTTTAAGTTAATATCAATGTTCCAGGAGATCAAGTTATATAAAAATTAGTCTGCCGAATCTTTTAAAAGGAGGATTCCTACTGATCACCACTTGGGTCTAGTCTTGTACAGTTATTCCAATGTGGTTTTACTGTAACTGGAAAACAAGCCGATTATGAATCTGACAGAGGCCAGTAATACATGTAAGTGAGATATAGTGATAGAACCGGTTTTAGAACCAGGAACCAGTTGCTTAGATTTGATTACAAACGGAAGAAAATGACAAAAAAAATCAAAGGTCTGGGATCAATAATATGTCTCATCACGAAAGCACAGTTATTTACCGATATCGTTTTTATATAAGCTTTTCTATATTACGCTAAAGGTAGAGATTTTAATTTATATTCTGAAATTATAGAGTTGTGTGGTATTATGCCTGTATCTTGTGCTGTGTGCGCCTCATTCCTACTGTTCTGTAACTTGTGTCTGTGGGACAAATAAATCTTAAATCTACATTAAAAAAAGTGCTATTGTCACGCTCATCTTCATCTGTCTCAGTCTCCGTCAGAAAATACATGAAGATTAAGTTTAACTGTTTCTCCGGAACATTCCTTCCAGCAAACTGTGAGCTATTTGTTTTGCAAATGGGCTTTATGCAAATGAGGAGAGGAGGAAAGGCATGGACCGGGTGTGTGTGTGTGTGAGTGCGTGTGTGTGCATGGACCAGGACCCGGGTGTGTGTGTGTGTGTGTGTGTGTGTGTGTGTGTGTGTGCCTGTGCCTGTGCCTGTGCCTGTGCCTGTGCCTGTGCCTGTTCAGTTTATTTATTTGCCATTTGCAGTACAAAACCACATTGGAATACATTAGCAAAAAGTCTCCAGTGTGCACAGACATAAAACAACATTAAAAGACAGAAATAAAACAGTAAACAAATGTCACTGTGAAATCGATCGACTAAAACAGTTCAAAACAAGTGCAAATCATTAAAGTGCTCTGTTCACACTGATAACAGCCTGTGGATAAAAACTGTTATCGTAACGAGATGTCCTGCATCTCAGAGAGCGATATCTTCTGCCAGAGGGAAGAAGCTGGAACATGGCTTTCCCAGGGTGGCCAGAAGAGTCATTGACAATCCTAAGAGCTTTGTTTAAAAGTCTGGATTTATGAAGAACCTCCAGAACAGGAAGCTCACAGCCCACGGTCCTCTTTGCAGAGCGGAGCACCTTGTTTAAAGCTCTCTTTTCTTTATCTGTGATGTTTCCAAACCACACAGACACAGAACCAACAAGTAAACTTGTGTGTGTGCGCGTGTGTGCATGCACCAGGACCCAGGTGTGTGTGCGTGTGTGTGCATGGACCAGGACCCAGGTGTGTGTGAGTGTGTGCGTGTGTGTGTGTGTGTGCATGCACCAGGACCCAGGTGTGTGTGAGTGTGTGTGCGTGTGTGTGCATGGACCAGGACCCAGGTGTGTGTGAGTGTGTGCGTGTGTGTTTGTGTGTGCATGGACCAGGATCCAGGTGTGTGTGTGTGCGTGCGTTTGTGCCGTGTGTGTGCATGGACGTGGACCCAAGTGTGTGTGTGTGCGTGCGTGTGTGCATGGACCAGGACCCAGGTGTTTGTGTGCGTGTGTGTGTGCGTGCGTATGTGTGCATGGACCAGGACCCAGGTGTGTGTGTGCGCGTGCGTGTGTGCATGGACCAGGACCCAGGTGTGTGTGTGTGTGCGTGCGTGCGTGTGTGCATGGACCAGGACCCAGGTGTGTGTGTGTGTGCGTGCGTATGTGTGCATGGACCAGGACCCAGGTGTGTGCGTGTGTGTGTGAGAGAAAGTGCGTGTGTTTGTGTGTACGTTTGTTTATTTGTATGTGTGTTATGTGTATCTGCGTATGTGTGTGTTTATGTATTTGTGTGTCTGTTTTGTGTCCTTATGGGTGTGTCTGTGTGTGTTTGTGCATGTATGTATGTGTCCATGTGTGTGTGTTTTGTGTGCTTATGGGAATTTCTATGTGTGTTTGTGCATGTATATGTGTGTGTGTATGTGTTCTTGTTTTATGTGCTTATGGGTATGCCTGTGTGTGTGTGCGTGTGGGTGTCTACAGAGGTCTCTGGCCCACAAATCCAAGTCAGATCTAAGTCCCGAGCCCAGGAGTCCAAGTCAAATCCAAGTCGAGTCTGTCTGAAGCATATTGTCTCACAGTTAACAGCTCTTTTGTCTTTACGCAAATCTCCAACTGATTCAGCCTCAAATCAGTTGATGTCGCACTCAGATTGTGATGAGTTTTGCATGACGTCTGATGTCACACAACAATATATGAACTGTTCTTTTCCTGTGGAGAGTTAAAAGCGAGAATTTCCTCTGCACAGACATGACCAGTAACGTGACCCTGAGTCATCACCTGTTCATGGCTTTGGCACGGCCTTCACTGCCGCAAGCAACTTAAAGCTCGGGTACCTAACTTTCAAACCTAGTGTTACTGTGAGTGACTTTAAAAAACACAAGAATACGGAGTATACGTTAAATAAAAAAGGATTCTATTTGAACAAACTCTGTATTTTTTTAGCGCGTTCTCTATGTGTCGTGTAGATTTCCTCCAGGTGCTCCGGTTTTTCCTATGCCAATAACGGATACCACTAGTGAATGGATAAACAGTGGTATGTATGAACCTACTCAAAGCATATTCTCACATCAGCAATTTTTTAAAACGCATGAATTCTAATAAAATTGAGAAAAATAAAAGTCATGAATATTCAAGTTATTTTTTGAAACTTATACTGTATATTTGATTAGGGACAATGTACACACAACGCTAGCTTAGATTCAGTCATACACACTTTAAAAATTGAAACTTATTTATTTGATTAGGGACAATTCACACAAAAAAACTAGCTTTAACTTCAGGCTCTATCAAAAAAGTCACACACAGAGTTCTAAAGTGTGTTATAATTTCTTGACATGATCTGAAAGTTGACAGACCAGTGATTTCCTTCTGTCTCCTGCAGCTCCTGTCTGTCTCTGATAACCACCCAGAGGCCACGCCCACTCGTCAGCCTGAGTGACACAAACAAGATTTGCACCGAGTAATATGGCACTCGAGATGACAGCGACTGTTAATACAACCACATGTGCGCGTGGCTTGTGAATTTCAGCTTCCTGTTTTTATCGGGGGACATGTTTTTCCAAAAAAAGTAGATTAAAGCAGCAATATGTAAGATTTTCAGGTCAAGACATCATTTAACGGCCCTAATATGTCAAAAAGCATTAATAAACACTGTTCTTTTCCAACACTTCTTTAAAGATGCTATACCCATGCTATATTCAATGAGTTCATGAAAATGCTTATTACTACACAAATTGTATTATAATCTGTAATTTAATGGAAAAATTGAGCTTATTATTTCAGCTGTGTATGAATTCAGGCCGTATAAAGGGCTGAGTAGAGACTTTAGCGTGACGCCCGCTCTCCTCCAATCACAGAACGAGGCTGCGTCCTCTAGCCTCTACAGCGCTGCTAAACACAGTAGCATGTTAGCATAAGTGGCTATAACTCCTCTTGCTGTAACTGCAGACACAGCAACAGCCCAAACGACACAACAGTGAGGAAGAGAAGAGGGAACTAAAGCCAAAAAATTATCAAAGAAGAAATCCGCAGAGTGGCTGTGCGCTCCCTTAGAGATAGGGTGAGGAGCTCAGTCACATGGGAGGAGCTCGGAGTAGAGCCGCTGCTTCTCCACATCTAGAGGAACCAGTTGAGGTGGCTCGGGCATCTGTTCAGGATGCCTCCTGGACGCCTCCCTGGGGAGGTTTTCGGGGCACGTCCCACCGGGAGGAGGCCCCGGGGAAGACCCAGGACACGCTGGAGGAACTATGTCTCTCAGCTGGCCTGGGAACACCGTGGGGTCCCCCCGGACGAGCTGGAGGAAGTGTGTGTGGATAGGGAAGTCTGGGCGTCTCTGCTTAGACTGCTGCCCCCGCGACCCGGCAACGGATGAAGCGGAAGAAAAAGAATGGATGGGTGGAGAGTTCAGATGTTTTTCCTGCAGGTAAACTTCAGAGAGAGAGAGACCAGTGATACAGAGAGAGAGAGAGAGATCAGAAAAAGAGAGACCAGAGAGAGAGACCAGAGAGAGTGACCAGAAAGAGGGAGTCCAGAGAGAGAACAGAGAGAGAAACCAGAGAGAGAGAGAGACCAGATGAAAGCCAGAGAGAGACTAGAGAGACCAGAAAGAGATAGAGACCAGATAAAAACCAGAGAGTACACCGGGGCTCTCTCCTCCAATGACAGCCCTTCTCTGCTCTGCATCAGCCCTATAGTGCTGGAGTGACGTGCCGGGGCAGGAGGGGACAGAGGAGGGGGGCAGATAAAGGTATCGCCCCAGGACACGCTGTAACGGCCGGACTCTGTGGGGAGGAGCAGAGGCCTGGGGGCGCCAGATAAAAGCGCCTGAGACAGAAGTGCAAAAATACAACTGACAAATCATGTTGTGACCACAGCAAGAAACAGATTGTCAGTCAGTGTCCGTCATGGAGCAGAGAGGAAGAGGAGAGAGGAGGAAGAGTTTGGGGAAAGTGTTCATCATGGAGCAGAGAGGAAGAGGAGAGAGGAGGAAGAGTTTGGGGAAAGTGTTCATCATGTAGCAGAGAGGAAGAGGAGAGAGGAGGAAGAGTTTGGGGAAAGTGTTCATCATGGAGCAGAGAGGAAGAGGAGAGAGGAGGAAGAGTTTGGGGAAAGTGTTCATCATGGAGCAGAGAGGAAGAGGAGAGAGGAGGAAAAGTTTGGGGAAAGTGTTCATCATGGAGCAGAGAGGAAGAGGAGAGAGGAGGAAGAGTTTGGGGAAAGTGTTCATCATGGAGCAGAGAGGAAGAGGAGAGAGGAGGAAGAGTTTGGGGAAAGTGTTCATCATGGAGCAGAGAGGAAGAGGAGAGAGAGAGAAGAGTTTGGGGAAAGTGTCCGTCATGGAGCAGAGAGGAAGAGGAGAGAGGAGGAAGAGTTTGGGGAAAGTGTTCATCATGGAGCAGAGAGGAAGAGGAGAGAGGAGGAAGAGTTTGGGGAAAGTGTTCATCATGGAGCAGAGAGGAAGAGGAGAGAGAGAGAGAGAAGAGTTTGGGGAAAGTGTTCATCGTGGAGCAGAGAGGAAGAGGAGAGAGGAGGAAGAGTTTGGGGAAAGTGTTCATCATGGAGCAGAGAGGAAGAGGAGAGAGAGAGAAGAGTTTGGGGAAAGTGTCCGTCATGGAGCAGAGAGGAAGAGGAGAGAGGAGAAAGAGTTTGGGGAAAGTGTTCATCATGGAGCAGAGAGGAAGAGGAGAGAGAGAGAGAAGAGTTTGGGGAAAGTGTTCATGGAGCAGAGAGGAAGAGGAGAGAGGAGGAAGAGTTTGGGGAAAGTGTTCATCATGGAGCAGAGAGGAAGAGGAGAGAGGAGGAAGAGTTGGGGGAAAGTGTTCATCATGGAGCAGGGAGGAAGAGAAGAGAGAGAGAAGAGTTTGGGGAAAGTGTCCGTCATGGAGCAGAGAGGAAGAGGAGAGAGGAGGAAGAGTTTGGGGAAAGTGTTCATCATGGAGCAGAGAGGAAGAGGAGAGAGGAGGAAGAGTTTGGGGAAAGTGTTCATGGAGCAGAGAGGAAGAGGAGAGAGAGAGAAGAGTTTGGGGAAAGTGTCCGTCATGGAGCAGAGAGGAAGAGGAGAGAGGAGGAAGAGTTTGGGGAAAGTGTTCATCATGGAGCAGAGAGGAAGAGGAGAGAGGAGGAAGAGTTTGGGGAAAGTGTTCATCATGGAGCAGAGAGGAAGAGGAGAGAGGAGAAAGAGTTTGGGGAAAGTGTTCATCATGGAGCAGAGAGGAAGAGGAGAGAGAGAGAGAGAAGAGTTCGGGGAAAGTGTTCATCGTGGAGCAGAGAGGAAGAGGAGAGAGGAGGAAGAGTTTGGGGAAAGTGTTCATCATGGAGCAGAGAGGAAGAGGAGAGAGAGAGAAGAGTTTGGGGAAAGTGTCTGTCATGGAGCAGAGAGGAAGAGGAGAGAGGAGAAAGAGTTTGGGGAAAGTGTTCATCATGGAGCAGAGAGGAAGAGGAGAGAGAGAGAGAAGAGTTTGGGGAAAGTGTTCATGGAGCAGAGAGGAAGAGGAGAGAGGAGGAAGAGTTTGGGGAAAGTGTTCATCATGGAGCAGAGAGGAAGAGGAGAGAGGAGGAAGAGTTTGGGGAAAGTGTTCATCATGGAGCAGAGAGGAAGAGAAGAGAGAGAGAAGAGTTTGGGGAAAGTGTCCGTCATGGAGCAGAGAGGAAGAGGAGAGAGGAGGAAGAGTTTGGGGAAAGTGTTCATCATGGAGCAGAGAGGAAGAGGAGAGAGGAGGAAGAGTTTGGGGAAAGTGTTCATGGAGCAGAGAGGAAGAGGAGAGAGGAGGAAGAGTTTGGGGAAAGTGTTCATCATGGAGCAGAGAGGAAGAGGAGAGAGGAGGAAGAGTTTGGGGAAAGTGTTCATCATGGAGCAGAGAGGAAGAGGAGAGAGGAGGAAGAGTTTGGGGAAAGTGTTCATCATGGAGCAGAAAGGAAGAGGAGAGAGGAGGAAGAGTTTGGGGAAAGTGTTCATCATGGAGCAGAGAGGAAGAGGAGAGAGGAGGAAGAGTTTGGGGAAAGTGTTCATCATGGAGCAGAGAGGAAGAGGAGAGAGGAGGAAGAGTTTGGGGAAAGTGTTCATCATGGAGCAGAGAGGAAGAGGAGAGAGGAGGAAGAGTTTGGGGAAAGTGTTCATCATGGAGCAGAGAGGAAGAGGAGAGAGAGAGAAGAGTTTGGGGAAAAGAAACGGGAAATGACCTTGTTCACAACTGCGTTCATTTCTTGTGTGCTAAATGTAAATCTTTTGTAACTTTGCAATAATTCAAAGAGCTTATAGTTTAATAATACAGTGGAGGAAGCTTTGAATTTTAGAATATTATTATGGACCAGCCTTAGTCTTGGATCTATTGTTCAAAAGTCCATTTACTTCTGTATTTAAACTTACAAGACACACTATAGCAAGCTTTTATTATTGTTGTTTTTTTAAACTTTATTTCACCAGGAAAAATCCCATTGAGATTAAGAACCTCTTTTTCAAGGGAGTCCTGGCTAAGAAGCAGCAAAGTTACACATAATCACAACAGACAGATAAACTTACATTAAAAATGACAGGTATACAGACTACACGCATCAAGTAAAACATTTACAGGTAATTGAAGCCGTCTTGAAAACTCTGAGTTTTGATGTAAGCATTCAAGGACAAAAGCTCGGTCAGAGGTTTATTTGTTATAATGTAGGTTATTTATACACCTGTAAAAAAAAAAACAAAAAAAAAAAAATCCTCTTTATATACTTCTAAAAATGGACTGCAATCCATTTTTGACATAGGTCAGGCTTGGTATATGACAACTACTGTATATTATTTTGTTTCAATGATTTAAGTAGAATTACAAAAATAAATACTACAGTTTATTTTAATATTTATTATTAATTTTCTCATAAAGATTTGTAGGGATGATAATATTCAAAAACGTATACATAATGTTGGCCAATAGACAGGACCTATAGACATAAGAATAATATTGCAGGTTTGAGAATCTTTCAAAAATAAAATTCAGCATGAACACAACCTATATGCAGATACATCTCCTACAATTTAAACTGATGCAATATATTTCTTCTTCTTTTTCGGTATTGCTTACTGGTTGCCTCGTTTCTGTCCGTGTGCCCCGGGGCAGCTGTGGCTATAGTAATAGTTTATCACCACTGTATATAAAAGAATAACATGTGAAACGTCTTTGAGTTTCTTGAAAAGCATTATATACATGTGAAACCATGCATTATTATTATTATAAGTGCAACATGTTTTTTTCATTGAGTAACTTGGGTTTGACATAACTAAAGCATCTCACTCTAAAACAGTGTGAGACGCCCGGCTGGAGGAGAACATGAGCCATCAGCAAACAGGTGCCTCTGCCTCAAGCTGCAAAAGAAACCGGGCCAGAACCAAAGTAAACACAGGATCAGTGTTATTCTCCGACAAGTGTTTGCTCTGAATGGGAGGGGCGCATCATCCAGCCTTCTCACATCCTTTACCTGTCTCACGTTATGAACCCAAATCCAGGCACCCCCCCCGGAGCCTGTCTGATTTGACTTTGAACCCAGCGACAGGCCCTTGTTCAAATAAAGAGTTAACACGTAAGATGAGATGGTTATGTGTGTTTGTGTTTGAACGTTTACACACCCAGGGGGAAGTGACGTTTCATTTTTCACCCATATTTTGGAGATTATATTTACGTTTTTTATTCATTCACGACAGAAACTCCCCCTGATCAGAAGTCTCCATCCCCCAGCTCTCAATAGCCTGATTTACCCTTTGACATCTATGACAGCTGGTTGTCTGTTGTCGCACTGGATGATGTTTTGTATCCTCTCTGATGTGAAAGTTGACCATTCTTCTTGGCAAAACGTTAAAATTTAGAAAACCTGATTATGTTTCAATATACAGCGTCAAAAAACGGACAAGGTTATTTTTTTGTTCTACTCATAATCTCTTATATATATGCTCATAATAATGTGTGAATTATCAAGTAAGCGTCAGTCCTGGATCTACAGCCTCAGTCCTGGTTCTTCAGCTTGTAGATTGGGCCTCCCTGAGATTTCTTAGATTTTTTCTCCCACTGGATTCTTGAGTCAAGGACAGTGTGATAATGACAATAACCACACCAACAACAACAGAAAGAAATAGATCAATATCGTTTTGCTGTGTAAAATAAACACCCAAAACGTCAATCTCTAGACGCAGCCAACAGTTTGCATACAACACCGCCCTCTGGTGTCCACAATGCTCAGTACAGGAGGAACATACAATTCATTTTATTTATTTATCATGGTCCCAAACATTATAATCACACAACACTGAAATGATTTTACATTGCTTTTGATGTGAATTATTATTATATTTTTTTAGATATTTAGGACACAAACCTTGATCTTGTCTCCACAATTCAACCATTAAATTCAAGTGGTAGCAATAATTATTTTATATAATACGTACTTTTTATATGAATATTATTTCAAACATTTATTATTTCCAGAACGAAATGTAATCGAATTAAGTCACAAAATAAACCAGGCGGAACCTTTGGTTTGACCCAACGTTTCCACACGGATTTATTTTGCTCAGTCGGTGTCCGTTCTGTGTCCACACGTCCCACATTTGAACGGATTTGAACCGAACTACAGTTGTTCTGGAGGGTGTTGCGGGTTGAGGATGTCTCAGCGGGCCCCAAAGCTGGAGCTGAGGCTGCAGGAGCTCTCTCTGTCCGCTCAGGGTGCTCACGCCCCGGGGAACTGCTCCGTGATGCCGCTGCGTGGGTCCAGACTGGTGTGTGTGGAGTTCCCCGCGATCATCCACAACCTGCAGAGAGCCATGGAAGCGCTGGGAGGAGAGAAGGCCGTGTCCAAAGTGAGAGGAAAGAGGATGACAAATATTAAAATGTGGATGAATTAAATTAGAGAGAGGTGCAGATTATTATTATATATTATTAAGAATCGCTTTTGAAGGTGCCATAGTTAAAGATGGTTTTCTTAACTTTACATATTTACCAGTTTTGGCTCCTATAAAAAAGTAATTATAGTTAAAATCCTTTATAAATTGCTTATTTTTAATACTTCTGATGGAAAACTAAACATTTTTTGGGAGAATTGCTCAGAATTCCCTTGGTTTTAATGGGAGCTGTCAAAATGATAGCTCATGGGAATTCATATTTGGGGCCATACCTGCATCTAAAAGCCAATTCCGTCAGACCTATGAAGCTGTGCAGGGCAGAGTCTGGGTAGCACTGTGATGGGAGACTTCTGGGTCCAAGTTTTAGCTTTTATATGAGCTAAAACTTGAGTACCACTGTGGCACCTGGTGTTGGGACTGCAATGGGAGATTACAGTGGGGCGGCTGCGGCTCTAAAACGTCAAACTGTTGTTGTGTCCTTAGGCAAGACACTTCACCCACAGTGCCTAGAATGAGTCTGTTGTGTGTGTGAATGGTTGGAGGGGCTGTTTGCACATACTGGTTATCTTGCTTCTGTCAGTGTGCCCCAGGGCAGCTGTGGCTATCGTAACAGTTTATCACCACTGTGTATGGAGTGAATAAATAATGCCATGTTAGGCGTTAGGGCTGCTGGCTATATTGATGGTCACACAACTTTGTTCCCCTCACAGACGTACGCTGACCCAAGCCGGCGCCTGGAGCTGTACCTGCGCCCTCAGGATCCCTTCTGTCACTCTCTGTGTGGAAACCGCCTGGACTCCAGTAACCTGCTGCTGCGCGTGCGACGAAGAGTGAGGAAGAGCGACCCCAGCGACGTGCAGGTTCACACGGAGCTCGTGGGGATCATAGGAACCACCTACAAGTTCCAAGGTTTGTGTTTGTGAGGTTACAAATTACGCTTCCAAAACAAAAAGCCGTCTAAATGGACTGCTCTGACATCTAGTGTCATATTTGTGCTTAAAAGTATTTTTGAAGACCTAAAGCGACAAAAAATAAGTGTTAGTTTGGATTTTTTTGCATGAAGAATAGATTTTATTTCAGCCTTCTAAGCCTAAGCTTAATTTCTATTGTACATTATTACTTCTGCTAGCTGATAGCCATTAGTCTTTGGACAAAACAGATAAAGAGACCTCTTTATCTGTTTCTTTTGTTCACTACACAGGTACACGCGGCTTAGCATGTGTAACACTCCGGGATAGTAATACTGACCTGAGCCGTCCAAAATTCATTAACAATCAACAACGTGATATTGCCATGGTTACCAAGACAACACTCAATGGAAAGTTGATGAGCATTTATAACAGAATTAACCTTTATTTCACTCAATTTCTTTCTTCTTTATTTTTGAATCAAGTATTGATTGTGTTGCGCTGCATACAGAAACAACAATAGTTTCAATAGCAGAAAATAAATGCGCAATCATTTTACAGTTTCTGCCCCCTCCCTCCCTCCCATGGGTCCACCCTTCCTCCCATGGGTCCACCCTTCCCAAAATAAATACACACACACATCCACACATTCTTTCTAACCCCCCACCCCCATGGTCCAATGTATCAATGACATTTCATTACTTACATATAATTATAATTGTAGACACATAATATGGCACACTTCGTCCGTCATTGACATCCACAGAAGCCGCAGAACAGAAAATGTAAATAAATATAGAAAAACATAGATATTGATTTTACATAAGGCAAGGCAAGGCAAGTTTATTTATATAGCACAATTCATACACAAGGCAATTCAAAGTGCTGAACAGAACAAGAAAGCATTAAAATCATAAATAATCACAGTACATTAAAAAAAGATAAAAATATAAAATCCCTCAGTTGTATGCACAGCTAAACAGAACTGTTTTCAACCTTGTCTTAAACATTGTCAGAGAGGAGGCCTGTCTCACATCTTCAGGAAGACTGTTCCAGATTTTAGCAGCATGAATCTGAAAAGCAGCCTCCCCATGTTTAGTTCTGACTCTGGGCACTAACAGGAGTCCAGTCCCTGTGCTCCTCAGAGTCCGGGCTGGTTCATATGGGACTAACATGTCACTAATATATTTTGGTGCGAGGCCATGGAGAGATTTGTACACAAGCAGAGCTGTTTTAAAGTCTATTCTCTGAGCCACAGGAAGCCAGTGCAGGGACCTGAGGACTGAACTAATGTGGTCGTACTTCCTGGTTCTTGTCAGGACTCGAGCTGCTGCATTTTGAATGTACTGCAGCTGTTTTACAGCCTGTTTGGACAGACCTGTGAGCAGGCCATTGCAGTAGTCTAACCTACTGGAGACAAATGCATGGATAAGAATCTCCAAGTCTGCTTTAGACACTATGTTTTTTATCCTGGCAATGTTTTTTAGATGGTAAAAAGCTGCTGATGTTACTGATTTGATGTGGCTATTAAAATTTAAGTCTGAGTCCAGTATTACCCCTAGATTTCTGACCTTGTTTGAAGGTTTTAGGGAGAGAGACTGTAGGTGACAGATGACGCTCTCTCTTTGTTTCTGGGGACCAAAGACAATCATTTCAGTTTTGTCTGCGTTTAGCTAAAGGAAGTTGTTTTGCATCCACTCACTGATCTGTTGGATACAGTGAAGGAGTGAGTCCACTGGTCCATGTTCTCCTGCAGTCAGTGAGACATAGATCTGAGTGTCGTCTGCATAGTTGTGATAGGACACTTTGTTTCTGCGTATTAACTGACCTAACGGCAGCATGTAGAGATTGAACAGAAGAGGTCCCAGGATCGACCCCTGTGGTACTCCACAGGTCAGGGCCATATGATCTGAGACACAGTCTCCAATCTCCACAAAGTACTTCCTGTCTTCAAGGTAAGACCTAAACCAACTTAGGGCGACTCCAACCCAGTCCTCTAATCTCTGTAAGAGGATCTCATGGTCGACGGTGTCAAAGGCAGCACTTAGATCTAACAAGATTAAGATTGAGACTTTGCCTGCGTCAGTGTTCAGGCGGATATCGTTTGTAACCTTGACAAGAGCAGTCTCAGTGCTGTGGTGGGGTCTAAAGCCGGACTGAAACATATCAAATGAGTTGTTGATTATAAGAAATCTAGTAAGCTGTAGGTAGACAACTTTTTCAAGGACTTTCCCCATAAATGGCAGATTTGAGATGGGACGATAGTTGTTAAGTACCGTAGCATCCAGGCTGCTCTTTTTAAGCAGGGGCCTGATGACTGCAGTTTTCAGGGCCTTTGGGAATATTCCAGAATGAAGGGACATGTTTACTATCTGTGTGAGTGAAGGTAACAGACTGCTCAGAACAGACTTCAGAAATCTAGTGGGTAGTACATCCAGGCTGCATGTGGAGGAGCTCAAACTGGAGATTATTTCTTGGACATTTTTATCATCTACAGGTGCAAAGTAAGTTAGCTCAGAGAGCCTTTCTGGCTGTTGGATGGTTATCTGTGGATTGGAGACAATGGCGTTTTTGATGCCTTGAACCTTGTCATTGAAAAAGTGTGCAAACTCATTGCATTTACGTTTGGAAGTTAGCTCTAATGGCATCTGAACAGGGGGGTTTGTTAATCTATTAACTGTTGAAAACAGAACACGCAGATTGTTACTGCAGCCTTCAATCATTTCAGAAAAATACCTTTCTCTCGTACTACGTAGCACCCGGTTAAACTCGCACAACTTATCTTTGAAGATCTTGTAATCAACCTGGAGGTTGGACTTGCGCCACTTCCGCTCGGCCCTCCGGCACTTTCTCTTTTGTGCCCTGACCGAGTCTGCTTTAGCCCACGGGCGCCTTCTGCTTATTTTTCACTATTTTAACCTTCACAGGGGCAACGGTATCCAGAACATTCAAAACACTAGAGGTGACAGAGTTAAACAGTTCATCTACAGTAGAATACGATGCATTCTCAAAGTTTATCATTCCCATAAATAGATCACTCGTATTTTCATTTATGTGTCTTCTTCGAACAGTTGCAGAGTCCACTGGTGGTTTGTTAGTGAAACACATGTCAAAAATACACAGAAATGATCCGAAAGCGCAACATCGACCACGTTTACATTATAAATGTTCGCCCCTTTGTAACTAACAGGTCTAGAGTGTGCCCTCTGCTGTGGGTGGGGCCACTCACATGCTGAGTGAGACCAAAGGTATCAAGTAAAGAACTCAGCTCTTTTGCATTTCTGTCATCAACATTATCCACATGAATATTAAAATCACCTGTAATAACTAAACTATCAAAATCTGTGCATACAACAGAAAGCAACTCTAATAACATAGAGATATGCATAATGCACTGGTGGATATGCTATACAAGTTTGGTTAATACATTAGACCAGCATTTCTATCTATTTCTGTCTAATTCTCCCCTGACTATTGTCCTTTATTGGTCTTCTCTCTTCAGGAATGGCAGACTTCCAATGCCTCGCTGTGGGTTCGCAGAACGGTTCAAAACTGTCCCTTTACGACAAGATCGTCCTGACCCAACCGGAGAGCCAGGACTTCTTCAACCAGCCGCTGCCGTACTTCCTGCCGCCCGCCATCTTCTCTCGCCTGGACACGCCCGTGGACTACTTCTACCGTGCCGACGTCATGCGAAAGGCCAGCAAGTAAATCACCTCGTTCAACAATCTTTCATGTGTAACGCCACGCATTAAAACTCTCCCAAACACAGAGAAAAAATTATTATTAGAAACAATACACTTCAAACATTTTGGTATCGGAGTGAAGGAATAAATGACATGGGAGCCGTCTTTTGAGTGTCTAAAAAAGTACTGTATAAAACCAATTTGTTTTTTTATTATTACCTTAATTTCCAAACTAAAAGCCACGACTTTTTTCTTATTCTTTGATCCCTGCGGCTTATACAGCGATGCGGCTAATGTGTGTTTTTATCGTGATATTGTGATTGTGAGAGTTGGGCTGTTTTGAACTTTTTATTTTGACTCAATTTTTAGCAGCTATAGGACGTATGTTTATTGTAAAAATAGATGAAGGTGAATGATAGATAGATAGATACTTTATTGATCCCCGTAGGAGAAATTCAGGTGTCAAGTAGCAGCAAAAATAAGAAATAAATTTGATCATTCTAAAAATTTAAAAAAACAGCAGTCACAGCAGCAGAGGTGGAGTATCCTCTGGGTGGAGCAGAACGGGTCACAGGGTGGAGTAGCTGCTTGGTTCGGACCATTTTCTCTGCTCTAGTCCAAAGTAAAATGCTAAATGCTTCATTAGCATGAGTGATGGAAGCTAGCGGTTAATTATCTCGTCATTATGTAGTGTCCAGTTAAAACAGTCGCCTCTCTGCTACAATACAACCTGAAAACCTGCGGCTTATATTCAAGTGCGGCCTATATGTGGACAAAATGTACTTCCTTTTGAAATGTACTGTAGGTGGTGCGGCTTATACACAGCTGCGCCTTATAGTCAAGAACGTATATTTACTGTATTATATATGTAGTATTTTAATGTTTATTTGAACTCTTTCAGCCTTTTTTGACATTACCTGATGCAAACCTGTCTGTACAAAAAACAATAAGCTTTTTGTGTGACCCTGGTCTGTGAAATGCGCTATATACATAAAGAAGTCTTGCTTGCTACATTTCAGCCCAGAAGCGGCGCTGCATAAGAACTTCATCGGCCTGAACCGTGCGCGGCGGCCGCACAACGCCATCTTTGTGAACTTCCTGGACCCGGCGCCGGACAAACCGTTGGAGATGGCCATAACAAACTGGCAACGTGTGTGCGTGAAGGAAATGGACAGGAGAGCGGAGCAGTTGATCAAGGAGGTGTGTGTGTGTGTTTCTGTGTGAGTGTGTGCATGAAGGAAGTAGACAGGAGAGCGGAGCAGTTGATCAAGGAGGTGTGTGTGTGTGTTTCTGTGTGTGTGTGTGTGCATGAAGGAAGTAGACAGGAGAGCGGAGCAGCTGATCAAGGTGTGTGTGTGTTTCTGTGTGAGTGTGAGTGTCTTTTGTGTGTCTGTGTGTGTGAAGGAAATGGACAGGAGAGCGGAGCAGCTGATCAAGGAGGTGTGTGTGAGTATGTGTGTGTGTGTGTGTGTGTGAATGTTTATTTTGTGTGTGTGAATGTGAGGTGTGTGAGTATTATTTTGTTTGTGTTAATGTTTTTTGTGTGTGTGTGTGTGTCTTTGTGTACTTGTGTGAATGGTGTGTGTGTCTTTGTGTATGAGTGTGTGTGTGTCTTATGTGTGTGTGAATGCTTATCGCGTGTGTGTGTGTGTGTGTGTGTCTTTTATGTTTGTATGTTTCATAAATTGGTTTTTCTTATGTGTGAATGTGTTTTTTATGTATTTTATTGAAATGTTAGTTCCATATGAACCAACTTGGACTCTGAGGAGCACAGGGACTGGCCTCCTGCTGGTCCCAGAGTCAGAACTAAACATGGGGGAGGCAGCGTTTCAGATTCATGCAGCTAAAATTTGGAACAGTCTTTGTGAAAATGTGAGACAGGCTTCTTATCTGACTGTGTTCAAATCTAGCTTAAAAACAGTTCTGTTTAGCTGTATATATTTTTATCTTCACTCTTTTTAATGTACTGTAATTATTTATTCAGCCTTGTGTATAATTTGCGTAATACAAATAAACTTGCCTTGCCTTTTTCATATTCCCAGTTGGTCCAGTGTGTGTTTTTAGCCCGGCGGAGGTTACTAGCGTTCAGCCTCGTCGCGTGTTTGACTTGTTTGACGTTTGGGAATAGGAAAAGGAGCATGATGTGTGTGTAATCTTATCTGGCGCCCTGCTGGTTTTTTCTTTTGTAGATGTTTGAGAGGCGGCCCATCTGGTCGAGAAACGCTGTCAAGGCCAACCTGGACATCCACCCAGAGAAGCTCAAGCTGCTGCTCCCTCTAGTGGCCTATTACATGGTGAGCAGTGTCTGTAGCCGTCAGTCACGATGAGAGAATTTCATGAATACTTTGAGACAGTATAGTTACATTTACACTGCTTTGTGTGGCACAGGGACAAAGTCAAAATAAAAGGGTCAAAACCATAGACTGTATATATTAATGGACAGAGTCACGCCTATCTCCGCCGTTCATAGGAGTTGGCCATGAAAAGTGCTTTCATGGAGCAATCCAAGATGGCCGCGAGTGGTCCCGCCCACAAGAAAATTGTGAAAAAACGCATCTGCGCATGCGTCAGCCGGCGCAACTCCGTTCATTTGAACGAGAGACTTAAAAAATTCACAGCGAGTAAACTAGAGTGGACCAAAAAAATCCGCCCCCCTCAGCATTGACACACATGTGGAACGGAGCTTTGGGCCAAGAGCCAACTTTTGGTCCATCCTGTAAAGACGTTTTTGAGAGGTCTGCTAATGCTATATGTTAGCATTGGCTAATTCTTCTTCTGGGTCCACCCCCATCGGCCCGGGGTGGTATTGCAAGCATGTCAGCGCACGTCATTTAGGCCACTTTTGAGCTGGGACCCTCCCCCACTGGTCAAAACAAAGGTCTGACTTTCAGAATAAGTCGTCTAAAGTTACTTGGAGAGTTCTTGGGATAAGAGGACATAATAATAATAATAATAATAATAATGCATTGTTTTTTTGACACTAATGACTAATAATGACACTTCACATGTCATTATTATTTCACTCCATACACAATGGAGATAAACTACTCCTGTAGCCACAGCTGCCCTGGGGCACACTGACCAACCAGTGCATGCCATCGGCCCCTCCGACTACCACCAGCCATTCACTCACTCATTCTAGGCAATGTGGGTGAAGTGTCTTGCTTAAGGACACAACAACAACAGCACTTTACAGCCGCAGCCGCCCCCACTGTGGCACTTTGTCTTCCCAGAGGTCTCCCATCGCAGTACTAACCAGGCCCTTCGCTGCTTAGCTTCAGAGGTCTGACAGGATCTGGTTTTCAGATGCAGGTGCCTCCACAAACTTTTTTTCTTTGTAAACATATATATTATTAAAAATAATTCACAAAAAGAATTGGGCCCTCTAGAAACTTGTGAAATGTGTGCAGAAAAAGTCTTCAGGGAACATGCCTCAAAAGTACTATGTGCTTTATAAATAAACTTGCCTGGTGCAGTAAGTGATGTTGTTAGCTTAGCCGTAGCCCCAACTGGAAACCACTCCCCCCTCCCCTCGCCTCTCCACCAAACCAAACATCCAGCATTTTCTTTTCTTTTTCACAACAGGGAGAGTGGGCGTCAAACATGGAATCACTGGCTGGCGGCACGGTGGCTGAGTGGATAGCACTCTCGCCTCTCAGCAAGAAGGTCTTGGGTTCGAATCCCGGTCGGACCCGGGCCTTTCTGAGTGGAGTTTGCATGTTCTCCCCGTGTCTGCGTAGGTTTCCTCCGGGTACTCCGGTTTCCCCTACCACTAAAAATATGTACAATAGGTCTGGCATGCACCTCTTGTTCGGCTGTTCGGCGACCCCGCTCCCATCTCTGTGTGGAATGAGAGGACAAGTGCCCAAAAAATAACAAATGTGAACCACTTTGTGACTCTGGTCTGTGAAAGGTGGTATATAAATAAAGATTACTTACTTACTTACTATGAAATCGGCATTTTCTGTTCAGTAAGTAAGTTTTTATTTATATACCGCCTTTTCACTGCAGATCTGAGTCTCAAAGCGGTTTACAATTGTTAATTTTTTTTTGGGCATTTGTCTCTCACTCCACACAGAGATGGGAGCCGGGTCGCCAGTACAGGAGGCGCATGCTAGAACTATTGGACATGTTTTTAGTGGTAGGGGAAACCGGAGTACCCGGAGGAAACCTACGCAGACACGGGGAGAACATGCAAACTCCACTCAGAAAGGCCCTGGTCCGACCGGGATTCGAACCCAGGACCTTCTTGCTGAGAGGCGAGAGTGCTATCCACTCAGCCACCGTGCCGTGTTCAGCCCTTTTAGGTTTTAGAAAATCCGAATAACTCAGGTGCGCACACTCACAAGAAACAGGAAGAAGGGGAAGGGGGTAAACACATACCATTGGTTCTTTGGGGATGAACAAATTCCATTGGTTTATTTTTATCGGTCTACATCTATTTTTTGGAGACTACAGGCATCTGGTCAATTCCATTACTATTTGAAAACACATGATAACTTTTAGGGTTTGGGACGTTTCACTGACTGAATCTTTAATCAGAAAAATAGTAGATAATAGAATATATTGTGATGTGATTTCAACTGGTCCATATTTTAAGCCCTAAACAAAGTCAACATTCTTTTTTTTTTAGACAACAGCTCTAAAGACGATATATGTACAACTTTTACAACAACCACAACGTACACTGCCGACCTCACACATCTGTGCAATATCTGGAACCAATGTCAGAATGTGCAATATGAAACCAGATGTGTCTGTAGCCTCATGCTACTAACATGTACAGATACATACATACAGCTATATATTACTGCACTAGAATATACAGCATTTATACTTGATTTTTTATTATGCTAAAGCTAGAGATTTTATTTTATTATATTATATTTAGGATAGAGCTGTGTTCTCATCATTCCTATTGTTGTAAATAATAATAATAATGCATTGGTTTTATATATATATAGCTTTTTTGGACACTCGACGCTTCACATGTCATCATTCTTTCACTCCAAACACGGTGATGATAGACTACTACTGTAGCCACAGCTGCCCTGGGACACACTGACAGAAGCGAGGCAACCAGTATGTGGTTGCGGCCCCTCCGACTACCACCAACCATTCACACACACACCACAATCATTCTAGGCAATTTGTTGTTGTGTCTTGCCTAAGGACACAACAACAGTTTGGCACTTTACAACCGCAGCCGCCCCACTGTGGCATCAGGTGTTCCCAGAGGTTAAGTGTCTTGCCAAGGACACAACAACACCATACAGTGGGAGACGATGGTGAAGGTGGGGCTCGAACCCGTGACCCTCTGGCCAATGCTCTACCAACTGAGCTACTGTCGCCCCTAACTGTAACTGGTGTAACTGGTGATGCAACGCTGAAATGTCCCCTCTCTTAAACTTAATCTTAAATGCTGTACATGTTTTAGGACACACTTATTAAATGACCACATGTGACTGTGCAGGTGACCGGGCCCTGGAGGAGTCTGTGGGTGAGACTGGGCTATGACCCCAGGAAGAGCAGCGAGTCCAAACAGTACCAGATGCTGGACTTCAGGATCCGCTGCAGCACCAAACACGGTACCCCAACCTCAAAGAACACTTGATGGGAATTAGTTTTGGCCATTTACTAAGAAAAATTATAGTTTTGTCTTTTGTCATTCCATGTTTTAGGGTGTCCAACTCGTTTTGGTCTGGGGCCAAATTTATTAACTTAAGAGCTGTTTGGGCTCAAAACTATAGATAGTTATCTTTCATTATTATTATAAATTATTCATTTTTTGGATTCAATCAAAATTGTGCCAAATATCTATAACAGATGGAATTGAAGACTGATTACAAAAATATATATCTTTGGTGTAACTAAAATGTGAATTAAAATGTTAAAGACCTTATGCCGGGTTTGATTTATTTAGAAATACAGTTAATACCATTTTATTAAAGTTTCAACGCTGTAAGTTGTTTACAATTTAGTATTTGTTCTTTTTTCGTGGATCTTCAAGATTACAAGGCCGTGTACAGCGAGTATGAGATTAGTACTAGATTATAATTTTTTGTTGTCACTGAGATAGTCCAGTGGTTGTGTCGATGCACTGTCACTCCAGATACTGGGGTTCAAATCCCGCCTGAGACACATTTTCACTCTCAAAACGGCAATTTATGTGTAGTGAGCAATTGTCACCTGTAGAGTGCAGTATTGTGTTGGGCATCAGTTGAGAGAAGAGAGAAAAGGCAGTCCTGTGGCATAGATCCATGGTTTTCAATGCATGGGCGTTACCCGCTATGACGTCACACACAGGTTAGAGCATAGACAACTAAAATTCATGAAAAACACGTTCTTTTTATAAAATATAGGATTTTTTTTGCCGGAATCTATTTCAGATTGACATTGTCATGCAATTTTGATATCCACAATTTGTTTTTTTTAAACCCGGCATAAGGTCTTTAAAGTGATTGTCTGGAGTTTGTCAGAATATATAGCTAAGAGAACCCGTAATACTAGAATTAATAAAATAACTTATTTTATATCAACATTTAATGCCAGGAGGTCAATTTAATACAATTCTTATTCTGCCATAGTATCCTTTTTTTTAATTAAAAAAGGGTCAAAAATATGGATGCAGAGTAGTTCGGTAATAAGAAATGCGTGTGTGTTTTTTTTTATGTGTGACGTGTGTGCGTCTTTGTTTATGCATGTGTGACGGTGTTTTTTATGTGTGTGTGTGTTTTATAAATTAGTTTTGCTTATGTGTTAATGTGTTTTTGTGTGAATGTGTGTTTTATATTTTTTTATCCGTGACATGTTAGTCCCATAGGAATCAAGTCCGACTCTGAGGAGCACAGGGACTGGACTGGTTTGAAATGAAGTTGTTGTAAATCTGCAACGCCTGCCTGGAGATGGTTCAAACATGACAAACATATATAAAATATGGATTTACTTTGTCTTGTTTTAAAGGTTATGCTATGGGAGGGGACCTGGTCAAACCCAAGAGGAGCTCTCTCAACTACACTCTGCCCAACACCTTCAACAAAGCAGGTACAACACTTCTGACGGTGAATGTGTAGAGCTGCAGCTATTGTTTTCATGACAAGTATCAAAGGTATTTAGGATTTTCCCAAGTTTTAGGAAAGAACCGCCCTCTCCACTTTTTGAACTAAACTCTCTGGTGTTATTTATTTTATTTATTTATTTGATAGGGACAATGCACATTAATGAACATCAGTATACAACAAATGTTACTATGCCGGATAATAGCTACCAAGCTAGTTTTTATCCGGAGTCCCTAGGCAGGAAAATAGTATTGGAAAGTTATTGGACGAGTATGTATCACCAGAATTATTGACAACTAGGACGACCAATAGTCTTGATGATTCACCCGGAAGAAGAAAATCCTGCTGTATAACTTTAAGATAAGATAGACTTGAACTAGACGGGTCACAGGGCTGTGATAGAGATTTTATACTTTTTCTTTGATGCCAGAGTCAGACATTTTGTTTTATTTGAAACGATATGTTTTTGGCAAAAAAAGTAAAATCTCGATTTTATTTCCTGCTTTGGACGATTTTGTTTTTAAATCGATTTTCATTAAAGTTTGCCCTTAAAAATATTTGTTGATCTTCCCGCTCAATATTCAACTTTCAAAACCATTTTTATTTTGTTTCCCCCAATATATATTCAAAAAGTCTCCTACAGACTGTGCTGATATTGCAAGTATAGTTCATGTGCTGCTGGAACTCTCTCAATATCCTTCATTCGATTTCACGATTTTTCACATTTTTCACGAATTCAATTTTTTCAAAAGCTGATTTATTGCCTAAATTCGATTTATTGCCCAGCCCTATTTGAATTAGTATAGCTATTGTTCATTTATCTTAGCTCCTCATTCCTACTGTTCTATAACTTGTGATGTAACAGTGAAATTTCCCTACTGTGGGACGAATAAAGAATCTCTTAATCTCAATCTCTTTCTAATGCAAAAAATCACATGTTTTAGATTAAGATGGAGACGGCATGTCGTGGTCTGACGGCTCACAATCACAGCGAGACTGTTTGTTCATGAAACAAACACGTGACAACTTTCGGATTAAGATTTACATTTCCCCGCAGTGGGGAAATTTCAGTGTTGCATCAGCAGTCACAGAACAGTAGGAATGAGGAGCACACAGCACAAGGTAAATGAACACAGATCTATGCTAAATAGAATAACATAACAGAAAATCTCTCGCTTTAGCATAATAAGGAAGCTGTCTATGATCTATAATAAGAGCCAATAATTAAGTACAACATCTCTGACATTAGTGTAATAAAGAAGCAAGTGTAAATCCATATTTTCTTGTGCAGAAATACGCAGTTGCATTGGTTTTGTGTTTTGACAAATGTTGATGTGATGTCGCGTTCCTGCAGTTCCTCAGGCGGCCAGTGTCCTCTCTCTGCAAGAAGAGGAGAGCCAGGACCAGAACCCCTCCTACATCCTGAAGGTCTGGGCTCACTCCTTTTTGTGTGGTTTGTGAAAAAGTAAAGTCAAAGCCGTGTTTAAACACCTGTTATCAGGCCAGACACAAGCCCCACTGATCAAACTGGAAACTAAGAATCTAAGAGTCCTAGGGTTTTCCAAATGCACATCAAATAATACACACCAGACTCAAACTGAACTGGCAAAAAAAACAACTACTTAAGCGTAAAATCCATGAATAGATAAAAAGGCATGTCCTTAGTTTGAACTGTTTGATTCTCTGAAGCATTATGAGCATACAGTATTGACAACTTTGTGAAGTGATAAGAAATTTGTGCATCATTAATAAAGTCGGGGACGACAATTTTCAGTCTATTGGTAGAAATTTGAAATTTTTTGTTAAATAGTGTATTACAAGTTTATTTGAAATTTTCACTGATTTGTAAACAGGCGGGCACGAGGGAGGCTATGTGGGTCCTTTAGAGACTTTACAGAGCTGTCAAATAACTTTAGCGGTGTCTAAATCCGAGTGAGTCAGATTCATGGATCTAGGTCAGAGAGGAGGAAAGAGATGGAGGCATTCATCAGAAGTCACCATTTCTTCGTGTTTTTTATGAAAAATGTCCACGCTGAAGGGAGCTGACATTTCAGACGTTTTTTTAAACATCCCATTCTCATTGCTGAATTATTCCTGCTGTGATTTAGGGCTGTTTACAAATTTGAATAAATATACAATATACAATACATAGAGAATATTGCATAGTAAAATAATATGTACTCAAAAACAACTAAAAAAACTAAAAAAATGCTCAAGTTTGACCAAAATCTTCGTCATTTTCTACCACATTATAATTCAGTTTTTTTTCATAGGATTTTTTTGTTTTCACTCAATTACCTGTTATCCTCCAATACATGGTCTGAACTAAAATCAGCAAAATGACAAAATTGGCAGTAATAGTTTGTGGAATATTCAAACCAACATTGTCAAACACTCATAATAGTTTTTAACCGTGTGTCTGTTCTCTTCTGCAGGAGTCGTCTTACATCTTCAGAGAGGGGATGGTGCCTCCTCACAGACAGATGTTCTACCAGCTGTGTGACCTCCAGGTGGACAGGTGCAGTACTGCAGCCCCCTGGATTATATATTGTTGGTTAAAATGTTCATTGAAAACCACACACAGGGATTGAAGCAGCAATATGAATACATGTATTATTGGAAAGTTTCTCCTCCCTCTGGTGGCAGCATTGGGAGTCACAGTCAAGATATTATTATAAAACCGGGATAATTATTTTCTTAGAGGAGCCACTTTGAGATCTCATATGGAGGCGGCGGACCCAATTTCACATGGTTGAATGTATTAATCAGGAAATGAGAACAAACTAAATGTATACAAACTAGCAATAGCACAAAACCAGCACATGTCAAGTTACAAGCCTTCATTGAGCATTGACTCCTAATTCGTGTATAAGACCGGTATGGAGGGTCTGGGGCCCTGGGCCGCACCCCTGGGCCGCACCCCTGGGCCGCACTTTGTCCAGGTTTCCCCAGGTCTGTTCCAAAACGTGAAATGACCAAGAAAAGAGTCTCATTGTCACTTCTCCTTTAATGTTCTATCAGTGTTATACAGCAGCTTCAATATTCTTTCATTGTTAAATATTTCTCTCTAACTCACGGGCGTCAAAGTATGAATTTTCTTGGCCCCGGGATGATATTTGAGCCATACAAAATTATTGGATTATTCATGTAATAATTAATGATATACGATACACTGTGTTAGGTCTAGGTTCAGTTGGTTACTTGCCATCAGTTTGATATGTTTTGATTAATATTGAACCAGCTGGTCCTCGGCTTGTAGCAGTTTTTTTTTTGGCCCTCTGATGTGTTTGACTTTGACGTCCCCGCTCTAACTTTACACGGTGCAGTCTGCAGAGAGTGGTGAACGCCAACAACGGTCTGGAGAAACTGTGTGACGAGCGCGACGGCTGGTGCCCCATCGGGACGCAGGACCAGCTCCGGAACATCATCAGCGACTCCATCAAGAAGGTGGTCAAGTCCAAGAAGACAAGTAAGACCACCACATGTGAGGTCACTTCCAGGTCTCACTGAAGCAGGGTCAGCGGGGGTCAGTCAGGAGCCAGTCCGCAGGCAATGGTGGATCCCAGCGAGGGAGGACAGATGGATGCAAATTCACCCCAACACACACAAACTTAAAAATACTGAGAAAAACGACTGCAGAATTAGATTAAAAGGTGTTCATTTTTTTTTTTTTTATCAAACAACCCAAAATGTAAGAAGTTTCTATGAAGATGTTCTCCACGGGAATCACTTGAGATTATAGAACGTATAAAAGAACCACACATTCACGGACAATCCAACTAATCGATTATGAAAATGATCATTAATCACAGCCTTCGCTCGGTTTGATGAAGTAGCCAGAGGGCCCCAGAGCTGATTTATGCCTCGGGCTCTGAAAACGCTAGCTCCGGCTCTGGGCGTTTTGACTTTAAACTGTTGAACTGTTGATAAATATTGATTGACTCAGATTCTTTGGCCTTGTTTCTTGTCCAGTACGCAAGCCGCAGAAAAGACGCCGCATTAGCCTCAGCAACAAAGTCCCTGAATATTATGAAGAGGAAGAGGAGGAGCTAGAAGAGGAAGAGGAGGAGCTGGGAGAGGAGGAGGAGGAGCCAGACGGAGCCCTGAACGACACCAAAGACGAAGAGGTGGATTTCCAGCCGTCGGAGGGCAGCGAGAACGAGATGGAGACGGAGATGCTGGAGTACATGCACACAGAGGCCAAAGAGCAAACGCCGTGAAGAACTTTCTAGAACTTTTGTTTACAAACCTGTTCCCTCGTCACAAGCAGACCTGGAGTCGTTTTTAGATCCATCCACGTAAATATTAGGGGCTTCTGGTACAGACATGTAACTCTGCCCCTTCTGTCTCAAAGCTCCTGTGTAAGTCCTGTTTTAGTATGTGTGTCTGAAATAAAATATCATTGCCCATCAATACGATGTGTTCAATCGCATGTCTGTGTTTGCAGCTGGTAATTTTCAATTTGGACAAAAACTGAATAAATTTTACTCCTTCCTCCGATAGGGAGTAAGCATTGTTTACCCTTCATTCTTGTTTGACCAAAGAATTTATAGATATATTACCGGTGCTTCACATTTTAAAACATGTAATGATGAAGTATGTGCTCTCATTATTTTATTTAATGGCCAATGATAATGGGTAATATTTATGTTAAAGGTTTGCCCAAAATTCGACTAAAGGAGCATGTGTATTGGTGACTGAAAGGGCAATTATCTGTTTTTGTATTTAACTTATTCTAATAGATCGGCCTACCCAAGGACTACAGGTGGAAATTGGCATATTTGCTATAACATTGTACAATTTATCTCTCCCTTGTATTAATATTTAATTGTACACTGTCCCTGTCCAAATAAAATGCATACCATACCAATAATTTAATCCAGAACACATTAGCAAAATATATGGCATGGTTGTTTAGAGAGATTACATGCCAGGGTAGATATTCTATAATTGGGAGCCCAACTTTTCACACTAGTTTAAAAGTTGTTTAAAAGTTGTTTAAAAACAAAAAAGTGCCATGGATGAAATATTTAGTGTCAAAGTGTACTGTGTAGGATACACAGTCATGAGGATTATTGTTGGCAAAAATTCTTACTCAGGAAGTTTTTATGCTCCAAGTGCTTAATGCTCAATCTAAAGAAAACTTTCTGTGCCAGGTCCAGTGGATACATTCTGGCAGGTTTTATCAGGGATGCTGTCAACTATTGATATAGAAATGTATTAAACATTGAAGCTCTCAGAACATCTGTTATTCTCACCCAAACAGTGTTGTTCAGACTTGAAATATTGATCTAAAACTCTGAGATGTTATGATGGCTGAAATCCAAGGTAAAAAATTGGAGTAGGACCTAATATCTGGTGCTTATCTACCATCTATATCTATAAATTATCTACTTATCTTCTGCACACCTTTGCACTGTTCTTACACACACTAGTAGTTTTGGTTTGGGCCGTGCGTCTCGTGTTCAGGAGAGAGCGTACACGTGGACAGTGCTGTGATAGTTGAAGTGAGAGTTGGAGACCAGATCTACAGCTGTGCACACGAGACTACAGCGCTGTGTGGAGCCGAGTGAGGACCGGGAGAAGCACTGGATATATGTCGTCCATGTATTGAAGTGGTTTTATGGCTCTCTCTCTGGCACAAGAATTTGCAGTGGAATTAGTAATGCTGTATCTTTTCATGGAGACCGTTGCCATGGCCGTTGTGGAGACCATCATGACCTTAGTTCTATAAAAATATCATGTAAATTCTGGGTTGTGCCTGGTACCTCCTCCCGATGACACACCCTCCTGGAACCCACTCCCAGGGAGAAGTCCAGGAGGCATCCGAAACATCAGCAGACTCCCCTCGAATTGGAGAAAACAAGGGTACATACGTATACCCTGCTTATTTATTTGTACTTAGTAGCTTATTTCTATTATTATTGTTAGCTTTTCAGAATTATTGATCTCCTACGGGGATCAATAAAGTAGTCTATATCTATCTATATCTTTGTTTACGTATATACTGTACCTCAGTTCATACATATGGCAACTGAAAGTACTTAACACAAGAAAAAGAAACATTCAAATCATGAACGATCACAGTCTATTAAAAGTAGGGATATACAAGCTTGTGTGTTTTTCTACACAATGGCCTCTAGCCCCATTTTGGATATATAATGGGACTTCAAACCGTCTTTTTTACATATACTGGGGCTTTAACCCTTGCAGCTCTACTCCAAGCTCCTTCCAATTTGTTTGACAGTTCTGTACCCCAGCTTTAATGTCCTTTCGGTAAAAGGTTATAACACCAAGGTAAATGAACAGAGAAGATAAGCTGAGGAAGGATTTTAAATGAATTTGGAAGCTCCCCACTTGAATAACTTGCAGATATGAGCAGGAACACGGCTCGGTTAAACATTATCAGTGTGGGAAAAGCCGGCCAGACTCAGATGCTGCGGTGGAGGTCGTGGTGGAGGTGGGGGTCTGTATAAAAGTGCAGGGGGCTCGACTCTGGTCCGTACAGTCTGGACACCATGGAGCTACTGGGGATTTTTGTAGCTGTGGCCGTGCTCCTGGAGGCCGTCTCTGCTGCTTCGGTATGTCATTATTCCTCAAATTTTGTTTAACTTTAATAAGATAATTGGCAAAATGTAGTTACTCTTTTGGAGCGGTTTATGGCCGTTTGAATCAAGTGCATTCAAGGGACCATCTCTTCACCCTATCTCTAGGGGAGAATCCAGCAAATCTGTGGAGGAAACTCATTTGGATCTCTTGTGTCTCCGATATTGTCCTTTCAGACATTACACAAAACTCACAAACATTCTTGAGGGTGGAAATGTGGATTGTTCAGTATATCAAGAGCTTTGGCTTCTCGACTCAGCTCCCTCTTCCCTCTCATTGACTCAGTCTTGGACGTCCCCAATATTTTTCAGAATGAACTGGAATTTCCACCTGAAACCGAGATTTGACTATACTGTAGGGTTGAAGTTTTCACTCCAGTATAGAATAGATCTTAGCAGAGAGACTGAGGATTTTAACCTGACACTAAAACACTATCCAATCCCCCTTCCTGAAGACAGGGACCCCCATCGATGTCTTCCAGTCCAAAGATACTGTCTCATCAGGCAATGTCCCTCCAACATCCAGAGACTTAACATAGTCACGACAGACGTGGTCCACTCCCGGGCCTATAGCGAGGAGGCCGCCAACAACCTAAATGAATCTGGGCAGGAAGATTGAAGTAAACCGCAAAGTATTTGGCCTCTCCAAAATATTCCAAGTCCAATGTTTTCGGTTCTGCAACAGCCCCTGCCCCACAACAGAGGGCACACTCTAGACCTGGTAATTACTAAGTGTGTGTGCCCTCTGTTGTGGGTGCAGAATCTTACATGCTGTGTTAGACCACAGGTTTCAAGAACAGAGCTGTCCTGCAGTGTACAAAGAAAAAAGGGGGTAGTTTCTGTTGCTTCAGTGAGCTCCACTGTTGGATGTAGAGGGTCCCTGATGTAACTAAGAAGGTCCTGGATTTACCTCATCACGCATCTACCCAACCCTGAAAACAACTGAAAACAGTAATATTGTAAATGTGACAGTTTTGTAGAGCTGTTTTTCTCATGGCTGTTGTCTGTGTGCAGTTGGGGGTGGTCTACACGGAGGGCGGCATGGTGGAGGGAAAGAACATCCGCCTGGGCTTCCGCAGACACATGGACGTCTTCAAAGGAGTTCCCTTCGCTGACATCCCAGGACGCTTCGAGAAACCCAAACGTCACCCGGGCTGGGACGGTGAGACGCACTGACGCACATGAATCACATCCACGGTGTTGGCGGAGTATGTGGTCTTCGAGCGTTGATTTATTCATGTATTTGATTAAAAGTGTTGCTAATTGCTCATAAAAGTGATGTCCTACGTGATATCCTTTGCAAGTTAAATATCTCAACAGCAGTTGTCTCCAAGAACTTTACATAGTTGTCAATTCACCAACAACAGATCCGAGAATCGAACAGTTTTGACTCTGGAAATGCAACGATAACAAACACATCAGATGCCAATAATACATGTAACATCCCCTTAGATTCAAATCTGTAGTTGGGATTTACTGAATAAACTCTCTGACTACATTTACTATTGTTTTTTGTTTGTTTTTTCAGGTGTGTTGAAGGCTAACGATTACAGAGAGCGTTGTCTTCAGGTGAATATGCTCATGAGTGACACCAGAGGGTCTGAGGACTGTCTCTACCTCAACATCTGGGTCCCTCACGGCCGAGACGGTAAACCCATAACTTATAAAACTAGACTTATCCTATTCGGATCTTCTGAGCCACATCCAAGACTTATTTTGAAAGTCAGAAGTTTGTTTTGATCCAACACTGCCCCAAACAACACGCCTATCTATTCCACTGTTGTTCTGGGTCGACATGGGTCAAAAACACAGGCCTGCTTCAATGTCTGCTACTCTTTTCATCAGTCACTTTATTCTCCTAAATCTCGGCTTCTCCCTTTGCTCTGCAGTTTCCACAAACCTACCCGTGATGGTGTGGATTTACGGAGGGGGGTTCCTGGCGGGGGGGTCGATGGGGGCAAACTTCCTGAGCAACTTCCTGTACGACGGTCAGGAGATCGCCGACAGAGGGAACGTGATTGTGGTGACGCTGGGATACCGAGTGGGAACGCTGGGATTCCTGAGCACCGGAGAGTCGGATCTGCCTGGTGAGACCAAGTTTTTTTTTTTACATGTGGTGTTCTACCAACAGAGGGAGATGTTTGACCAACACTCTAAAAGCCTAACGCAGAAAAGCTGTTAAGTTATTTTACTTTTGAGGTTCTAAATTCTGTACATGGACAAAGCCGTGTCCACCAGCTGAATGTGAAAAACTGGGAATTGGTTGGCTACAGACTAGTGAAGAAAAGTTTGATATTGGGTGAATCAAAAAAATGGATTTAGCTCCTGATGAAAAAAGTCAATCAGACCCATGATTTACGTATCTCTCATGGGTCGAATTGGTGGTTGCTGTGGTGATGGCAGAAATGGTCCTTTTTATTTTAACGATAATTATTCACCAAATTTCTCAAATCCCAAGAATCAACTTTAACAAACTCTTCCTGAAGCTTTTCACAAACAGGGCTCAAACTCCCGGTGCATTCCCGGTGCATCTGGAAAAGCGGGATATCTAAAGTTATCCAAAGATCCTTCATATTTCTTCTTAAATGTAAATACATGTGTTAAATAACAATTATACAGGGCGCCAAAATGTTTGCTTTTTGAATACTTATAAAATGTATCACCAAAGTCACGTTTTTACATCCTGATCAAAAGGTTATTACCGTTATTTCTGTCCTGGGCTTTGGGTTATAGCAACATAACCCCACCCCTAAAACATGATCACATTTCTACAAATACAAATTAATCATTGTGTCTCCAGGAAACTATGGTCTGTGGGACCAGCAGGCCGCCATCGCCTGGGTGCACAGAAACATCCGCTCGTTCGGAGGAGACCCCAGCAACATCACCTTGTTCGGAGAGTCTGCAGGGGGCGCCAGTGTCAACTTCCAGGTCCGATTGTTATTGTCATCTCTTGATTTGATTTCCATGCTTAATTATAGCTGCAAGTTTGTTTAAGTCAGATCTAATCACATATCAGCAGTTAAGTAGGTCAGGAGTTGCCTAGTGCTAGACTGGGACGCCCCGCTCTTGTACCAGGCTCAACGTTGTCCTTCGGCAAGACACTTCGACCGCATTTCTGACGTAGTGTGAGTTGGATCTGAGGTGAGGCTGCTCATCTCAGATCCAACTCACACTACGTCAGTCTGCCCCATTTCAGCTGTGGCTGTAGTTCTAACTCAGTGTGCAGTGAATGAATTGGGCACTCAATTGTAAAGTTTTGTGTTGTCATTCCTGTTGTATGTTAATCAACTTGCACTAATCCTTCCTTTGCCCAAAATGTCTTCCTTACAAACGCATCACTTATTAACTTTTCTGCTTGCATCCCAGACCCTGACGCCTCACAACAAAGGGATGATCCGCAGAGCCATCTCCCAGAGCGGTGTGGCCCTGTGCCCCTGGGGAATCATCAAGAACCCACGCAGGATCGCAGAGGAGGTGAGAGCTGGGGTTCCACAGAAACTCACGGCGACCGGGATTAGATCACATCAGAAGCAAAATCACCAATCTTCATAACTTGTTCAACACATGTGAACTGTCTGAGGGGACTATGGTGACAAATTCATGTATTAAATTATACAAAAATACATTGGTGACAGTGTTCAGCGCACATTACAAAACAGTATTCTTGGGTTTCATTGAACTGGCCAGTAGGGGGCGAATGAGCAGACGTGGGACATCTCAGTTTTGCTCCCATTGAAAACCATGCAAAGTCTGTTTAGGAGTCAAAAGGCTCTCCTCTTGTGTGGTGTACGGTTGTTGTAACAGTCTCAATCGGGGACACTCAATTCTAAGGGAGTACTAAAAAACATTTCTCAAGAGTCTTGATTTCGGGCATTTTTGGAAAGAAAAACAGAAGAAATTGCTGCGTTTCATTCGGGTGGCCTGCAGGGGGCGCTTATCTGGGAAAGCCTTGATCCACCTCGCCCGCCTCATTCCAGTGATTTTTTCAAAGTGTACTCCTTTATATGAGACCACAGTTGGAAGACGGAACAAACTCTTGTCTTTCTCTGTATCAGTGCGGTTGCTACAAGCGTACACCGCACAAAAAGATGGCATTTTGACAGTGCTTCTTCTTCTACTATATCTCCGTGTATAAACCCGTCAGACTGCACCGCCAGGATAAGTCACGTCCTGTCCCACGTTTGTTATTCACCCCCTGCCCTGACGTCATATGAAACCCAAGAATAGATAAAAGGAGCACCAGAATGGAACCTTCAGACATCCGCCAAGAGGATATTCTGAAATATTCTTAAACATTTGGCGGAAAGACAAACAAACCCTGGTGAAGTAAGGGTTATTATATTAATTATAAAACTGTCATTGCACTTTGGAGTTGTAGTGTCAATACTCCATGTTCTTTTTGTAGTTTGCACCAGAAAATTTCAGAATCTCTTTCAAATGAGTCCAGAGACCGACTGCGGAGCCCAGTCCTAGTTTTTGTCAAATCTGTTCAATGACAAGAGCTGAGCAATAATGTACAGTATATATTCTAAGCTCTGTTATCCTCATTGTTTTGGCTGATTCTGGCAAATGTTTTGAAATGTATAAATGTGAATACCCTTGTTAAATAAAGAAATAATGTATTGTTATTTTTCCAAACCTGTATTCACCCCACGTGTCCAGGTGGCACTGAAGGTGAACTGCCCGACCGACAGCAGGATGGCGGCATGTCTGAAGATGACTGACCCTGCGCTCCTCACGCTGGCCGGCAAGCTCCACGTGCAAGGCTCTCCTGACAGTGAGACCATTTCATACAATTAATCACTTTCAAAGTTTATTTATTTTTGTTTTATTTTTCAGGTCAATAAAGTCATTTCTACAGTGATGTCTCAGAGTTCCTCAAGAGCATGTATTATTACCTAGACTAGAGTTATATTATTTGGTCACAATTGTGTTTTTTACACGTTTAACCCTTAATGTTGATATTTTCATATTTCAATAGATCCAGTTCTGTTATTATACTCACCAGGAGTTGTGGTTTCTTTAAAATGGTTTGAAATACGTGAGATTCTATTCAAAAAAAAAATGTCTACCTTACATATCTATATTTACAACTCATACAGTTCATTATGCCTTTTGGGCGTACGACTTATGACTGAAGGGACTAAACTACATACTGTATATGTATACTTTTCTTTTTTGTGTTGTACAATGAATCATTTGTAATTTTAAACAAAGACTACTACTACCATAACTGTGACAGCTGTATAGAGTTCCTTTTTGTTGTCTGTCCTTTTGCAGATCCCATTTTGCAAAACTTGGTTCTTTCCGCGGTGGTGGACGGTGACTTCCTTCCAGAAGAACCCTCCAAACTCTTCCACAACGCGGCTGAGATCGACTACATCGCAGGAGTCAACGACATGGACGGGCACCTGTTCACGGGCATGGACATCCCCACCATCAACTCCATGGTGGTGGACACTCCCATGTGAGTCGTCCTCTGTTCTGATATCTGGACAGGGCATTCCTTGTTTAAGCCCCTCTCCAGAGACCACCAGCCAAACTACAGCCTATATTCTCTAGGGTCAAGGGCTACACAAGAAATGTTCATATGGACTGTGACGTTTGCTAAAACGGCTTGTCTTTAGCTGACAGGGAACCTACAGCTTTCAGTCTTCTTTGTGACCATTCATGCTTTTTGTCTTGAAATCCAAATATTTTCTGTTAATCCACAAACTCTTCACCGCTCTATTCATCGGTCAGATCACTTAAGTTTTACTCTCGTTCTTCTCAGCCATGGAGGTAGCACCACGTGTCCCAGAGAGGACAACAACAAACCAATTTTTGTGACAATTTTTGGGGTGGCAAACTTTGAGCAGAGGCCATTGACCTAAAAGATATCTTACAGGCAACATCTGCAATCTTCCAAGGTGCCAAATGATGCTGTAAACACGGTGCAAAGAAATTATAGTATATGTTTTAGTGCCTCCTGCATCGGCAAGAAACATGAAAAAAAAACATGAAAACTATAATTAATTTATTGGACAAATCTCAAAATGGTTGTCAGACTGTAAAAGCATTGGTCCTGTGTGTTGCAGTGAAGACTTGAAGAGGCTGCTGGGTGCGTACACCGCAGATAAAGGAAAGGCTGGGATGGAGGAAGCTTTTAACACTTACTCTTCTGACTGGGGCGCCAAACCGGATCGTGAAACCATCAAGAAGACCGCTGTGGCCATCGGGACCGACTACATCTTCCTGGTGCCAACTCAGGCTGCTCTGTACATGCACGCTAATATTGCCACGTAAGAACTGTTTTGTAAATAATTATTAATCTCATCATGCTGTACCATGACTTTCTCTGATTGTATCTCCACAGGACTGGCCGCACTTACTCGTACTTGCTGTCAGAGCCGAACCGTCTGGGGGGTCTGACCACGCCCTACCCTCGCTGGATGGGATGTGACCACGCGGACGACCTGCAGTACGTCTTTGGGAAGCCCTTCGCCACTCCCCTGGGCTACTGGCCCCGGCACAGATACCTGTCCAGATACATAATCGCATATTGGACCAACTTTGCAAAAACTGGGTAAGAACCAACTGAGAGAATTCATATTCTGCCACACATGAAAAAAACGCTTGAACTCCATAAGTATGCCACAGTGAGACAGCTGTGGCTCAAAAGTGTAAACTGCTGTTGCGTCCTTAGTCAAGTCACTTCACCCACATTGCCTCAAGTTTAATTTTAGGAAATAACCGCCCTCTCCATTTTTTACAAGCACGTAACACCAGAATGATTGACAATTGGGAGGACCAATAGTCTTGATGATCCATCCGGAAGGAGAAAATCCTCCTTTATACCTTTAATTTGATGTGTTAAAGGCTGGTTGTAAGGAACACCTTCACACACCGATGTAAAGCTTAGAGAAAGGCACGACTTACATAGATTATGTTCTGGAAAATGCGTTTGACAAAGTCCATGAAAGCTTTTTTCAGTTCTTTCATTGTTAGAACTTCTCTCCTTATTCCACCTCAGGAACCCAAACCAGGGCGACTCGGAGGTCCCTGCCACTTGGCCTGAGTTCAAGAGCGATGGGCATCAGTACCTGGAGATCCACCACAACATGGACAAAAGCTACGTGCGGCAGAAGATGAGGATGCGTTACGTGCACTTCTGGAGCAGCGTCCTGCCCAGTCTGCCCAGCCTCAAGACTGAATAACAACTGTCCATCTCCCACTGCCACCATCAACAATAAACTATACCACATGTCACGACTGGACTGTTGTCTCTTTGACTGGTCGTTTCACAGTTACTACAGTGCATCCGGAAAGTATTCACAGCACTTCATTTTTTTCACATTTTGTTATGTTATAGCCTCCAAATTATCAATTTCAACAGCGCGCACGCCCAAAACCCAAAAACCCAAAGTCCATTTTCACAGTTTATTTCACAAGCATGGACGTTGGCTTGGCAAGCTGGATTTCCAGTTCTCAAAATGTCACCTTCTTTTCACCACGTCCATTTAACTCGAGGGGGGGTTCTCACCACACAATGGAATATGGATGGACCTTGCTGTTTCAAAACAAGGTTTTTTTTTTGTCAAAAACAAAAGCAATTTTTTTTTTGTCAAATACATTTCAAAATCAAAACATACGGTGAACTTGTCCCAAACCATAGGTAAAAAGCGTTCGTTTTCCAAACATCAACAACTGATTCGACCACATCCACTCTGCTGACTCACCAGACACGCTCTCCGCCTCTAAAGGGTGCCAATGTCACATATTTTAAAAATATAATGAATTAAATCAGTTTGCTTCTATCACTAGTTTTCGCTTTTGTCGTGGATGTTTGCCCTCTGTTGCATCTTCAGCTTTCTCAGACAGAAAGCTCACAACTTTGTAATGCTTGCTTCTACAGTCCACTTGGGATTTGTATTATTTTTTTATTCATCTACATTTTGTTTCTCTCAGCAGGAAAAGTCTTGTAAAAGTAACATTTTGTGTACAAATCTGAGTTCAATTCAACATATTTTTGCGTAGCCCTAAATCACAACTGTAGTTATCTTGGAGGACTTTACAAAGCTAGACATCCATATAAGGGGCCATAAATGTCCACAATGAGGAACCAGTTCGATGGATTTATCACATATTTTATCCAAAGATATTTTGTTGTGGTTGGTAAAAAGTGAGAATATATAAATGTTGAAAAATACTTACAGTACATAATAAGACAGTGTCCCATCGTCATATACATTATTTTTGTTATATTCAAAACCCAAATGAACCCAAATGTATTGGACGTTGAGCAGGTAGGGGTGGGCAGGAACTGGAACTTGCATAGGTGCTGAGGCGGGAATGGCAAAGGAGATACTGGTGAGGAGGCTTGCAACTGGCACGACAATCTGTGAATATAGAAAAAAACAAGATCAAACGATATAAAAAACTAGCACAAAAATACCAAAAAAGGCCTGAGGTGTTGTCTCACGGTTGTAGACTGAGGACCTGGCAGAGGATTGATGCCAGGCTTAAATACAGAGGTGATGAGAAATGAGGGGCAGGTGCGCAGGCCAATCAGGAACAGGGAGCAGGAACAGCCACGCCCACAGCAGCAGGAACAGGAGGGAGGGGGTGAGGCGCTCACAGGGAGCTCACATGGATCTATAATAACTGGATAGGGTATTATTAGCTTACAACTGTCCCATCCACGGGCACAGGGGTACACGAACAGGGGTTCGTGTTCAAATCTCCCTCCAAATGGGCGTTGCCTGGACAGGCGGGGGGTGAACGAGACTGGGCCGTTTATATACCTCAGAGCGGTGGGGCTGCTGACGTAACGAGCCACTGCAGATGAAAGCGGCCACTGCTGCGGCCAATGTTGGCGCCAGATTCAAAATTCAAATGTAGTAATACAGGCCGCCTGCAGATGGCGCCTCACAGACGGTTTTAGGCATAAAGTTGAACTTTCAACTAATTTGCACCAAAGTGACAAAATTATGACTAGGATATATACACAACACTATTGGACACTCATTTATACAGTTTATCAGCATTTGAGGGTGAGTTGTCCTTTAAAACCCACTTTTATCAAACAGCTTTAACTGTTAGTATTAAAACTCCACGTTGTAATTTATTGTTCCCCTTTGTCTTTGTTTTGTCTTTCTTCTTGTGTCTCCTCTGGGACCCGCCTGGGAGCGCTTCAGTCCTGCACCTGTCTGCATTATTAAGATTTTGACTGTAGTGTGTTCATTGCTATTCACCTGTTGTACCATTGTCTGTTTCATGGCGCGACAACGGGACCGCTGAACTGGCCCCCTCCATCTACACCTGCGAACTGCCCTGCTGGACCCGCCTGGGAGCGCTTCAGTCCTGCACCGGACCTGTGGACCGTTGCCTGGCCTTGGTTCTCGTTCTGTAGCTTAGGTCCTGGATCATTAGCCCGTCCGTCCGTATGGAGTGGATCCTTCTCTCAAATGTGGGTCTCGCCGAGGTTTCTCACTTTTTTTCCCACTGGGTTTTTGTGAGTTTTAGTGTCTAACAAAAAGGACTGTGGTGATGATCCAGGACACTTTAACATTCTACAACATGTATGGACATTTATCAACATTCATGGACATTGGTCTCTCCCTATGGACCAATACATGTACTGTATATATTTTGTGTCTTATCTGTTGATTCTCTGATCTGTGTTGGTGATTTCAATGGTTTTGTTAAGTCCTCTGAGATGACTTCTGTTGTGATTTAGGGCTATACAAGAATAAACTGTTGTTGCTGTCCTACTGTAAATAATTTTGACTGTTTTTATTGATTATTTTGCTGACTGTGCAGCTCCTTGTTAGCTTGCCTCTCGCCAGACCCTTGTAGATCGCTGCGCTTCTCACAAGGGTCTGGATCTATTCCATAGCGTGAAACACGCTTGAGAAGGCGGTGCAAACCCAACGTAACACCGGCAAACCTGATTGGTCAATTATATTTTGATCTCCCGAAGGAGTTTGCTATGCGCTCGATCCCAGACCTTTGTGTGAAGCGAAACGTCTCTGCTGGAGCATGGTGGAACTACAAGTGTCTGGCGAGAGTCAGGCTAGCTCTTTGCAAATATTGCTTTTGAAAAGTGCTATACAAATAAAGATGTATTATTGTTGTCATTACTATACACACTGAACAAGAAATGTAAACTTAGTACTGTTTTTGCTTCCACTTGATGTGGGTCCTTCACAGAGACAATGTGGGATGTTCTTAGTCCAAATCAATCAATAAATCAAGTTAATTTATGAATAAATCAAGTTTATTTATGCACTGCCACCCAAAGTGATTTAAAAGACATACAATCATACACATTTACAAACATTATCGAACATATGAGATTAAACAGTCATAGAATAAAAACAACACTCAATGTCAGAATTTAAACTCCAAAAGGCAGAATTACTTTCAATGTGCATTGTGTTTATCTATACCTGCACTTATGTCAGTGAATCCCAACAGTAGTTCCAACCATTATCACTTTGTGCTCATGCAGACAGTATCTCTAGATGGATAAGAATCTCTAAATGAGCCCATAATTGTTGAGTAGATTTGTTGCCAACTCACTGACCCGACTTGGGGTAAGTAACCAGAAATATGTCACTGTCCCTGACCTCAAACTCCTGAAGTGAATCGAGTTATTCCGGAGTGATCCACGCAGCCGCTAAGTTATATCCTTTGTATCAACACAACTGCTCTGAAATCTGCTCCATTTTAAAACACAAATGTCAGATACAGAAGTCTGTCAGGGATCAGGACTCACAGGAGCTGGACTTTGGACTCATTCACCATGTTATCTCACTGTGGCTCTGTGGGAAGGACTTCACCATAAAGGACAGATCATCTGCTTACTGTTTTTAAATAATCAACATAGAGGTTCATGATTAGATACATTGCTTTTGTTTGTTTTCTACAGTAGGTTCATAAACATTATTATTATGTATTATATTTTTATGAAACGAATGTGACACTACATCATGTTAAGAGTCACACAGATGTGGACAACAGCATGGCTTTCATGAAAACACGATGAGCATCTTCACCCAGAGTTTTCAGAAGGTTTTGCAGACATGTATAGACTGAATACCCTGAAATACACATTGCTATTGAAGTTCCAATGAATGGAACATATCTGATCCCTTCCTCCACAGCCATTTCTATAGCCAGTGATTTTGCCATGATCCGTGATAAGTGTTGTGCAGTTACTTTGACTCCAGCCAATGGGGACTTTAATTCTTTCCTGATTTCCTCTATGGGGACCTTTGTAACCCACGAAAGCCTGAGAAGTGAGTCATGTGTAAGACCCAGTGAAGTTTGGCACTCATTTACAAACTTTAATATAATGGCAGTATCAACAGCCACAGAACTCCCAGGAATGGGGACAGCTGCCACTCCAGCAGATGTAAGAGCATACCACTTTATTTTGCCTTCTAAAACTTCTATCTTCTGATTAACAACCTCCAGATTAATGTTAGGCAGAGCCAGGAGCAGAACATCTCGCTGGAATGCAGGCAGCTCCTTCTCCAGAGTTTTCCAAAAATCATGGAAATCATAATCCTGCAGAGCGACGCTGGAGATTAGGAACACTTTTGGAGACTGGATCCCCAGCTTACCAAGCTCTGCAAGTTCAAACAGTACATTAGCAAAAGGTACACTTTCATTATCTAAAGCTTCTACCTTTTGTGCAGTTGTCTCTGATTCGTTGGAGGGTTTGCATTTTTAACTTGGCATTGTACTCATCCTCAGTTATTTTTTTGTATTTTCGTTTATCATTTTGGATGCTGTTGTCCATCTTGGATCGAACAAAGTAGAATTTCTTCCCCATCTTTTGGATTTCTTGAGCCAGTTTTGCATCATTTTCTCTGAAACGGTCACTGGAGATAATGATGAAGAAGTCAAACCTCTCAAACTCCATCTTCATCAGATACTCATTCGCTGTAAACTTGGTCGTGCCCACACCAGGTAGGTCCCATAGTTTAATATTGGAGTTTTTTGGGAGGCTGTACTTTATTGGCTCCATAGTTGTTTCCACGACATCAGTGGAAGCAGCATCCTCGTCACTGTCGTCTAATTCTCTGAGAGCGTTGACAAAGGTGGATTTACCAGAGCCAGACTCTCCGGTGATTGCGATGACTAAAGGAGCCTTTTCTAGATCATTCAAATACTTCTTTACCTTTTCAGCAGCTACACCTTGATCAATGCCCTGGAGGGCCTCTGCAATATCCTCCTGGCGATTTTCCATGATCACTGAAAAAGGTAATATAAATGTTAACAGGAAAAATCCTGATTTGTATTTTGACTTGACTTTTTGTCACTGCTGTCTGTCTTTGTGAAACTGATGATCTGATATCACCAATAATTATGCCCTGACTGTACGGAGACTATTTTTGTTGTATCAACATTAAAACTTTTGTAAATTATTTTGTCAACAAAGCGTGGAACAGATTCTGATCAGAGTGTGGAGGATCATGGCTCCTCTGCTATCACATGTGTCATGAAGAAATCATATCAATACATTCACTAGTTATGTTTCCATAAACCTCCGTTTGAAGAATATGTCCACTCTAAATATTTCTCTTATTTTTACTTGAATCTGATGAAAAAGTGTCCTCTTCTCTCTACCTGCAGTTTACTTAGAGTTTAATCTATAAGCAGTTTTATTTAGTTTCTCCATTAGAGGGGGGAGGAAGGTTGTGCTGCATATTTATTTGTCTGATTTGAAGCATCCTGATGCAGAGTTACTTCCGTCTGAAAACAATAGAGCAGTGTTCCTCAACCTTTGAGCCATGGTACACCTTTTCATTAACAATCTCACACCAGCAGCTGAAACCGATTAACATCAAAAGTCATTCTCATTTAAGTGTTTTATAGGAAATCAAACTTTAAGTTTGATTTCCTATAAAACAAAAAAGTATTTCTAATCTTCTCACATTCTTTTTCCCAATGAGGTGATACTTTATCTTTTTTAAAAATAGAGTCACACCAAACAACATCTCACTATACACCAGTGAACATAAGGCTTTGTTCAGCAGTGATATCAAGAACAATTGTATTTTTATCTTTTTCCCAAATATTAGCACAGTGTAGTGTGTGGAATCATCTACAGAAGGGTTTTAAAACTGTAATAATTGACTCCAATAAGACAAAGTGTCTATTGATGTAAGTTTGTAGCTTCTTGTTATTGGCTGAACATTCTGTCCTAATCTGGAATATCTGTGATTTTAATGCAACCTCTGGGGTAAAGTTAATATAAGTAATAGTAATACCTTTTTTGCTATTAAATATTTTAATATTGCTTGATGCTTAAGAGTTTAAAGATGAGATATTACCTTTGTTGGAGGGCGTGCTCAGATGACCCAAGGCTTAAAATCAACTCAAAATGCAAGTGTGAAATAAACATCATCTATTTATTGCTTTGATGAAACCACGCCCATTGACGTTGAACACACCCTAAAACCAATGATAAAAAAGGAGCCTTCTAATCCACTAATCTGCTCCTGTTCTGATCTCCTCTACAGATATCAGACACTTTTCTGGATTATACACATTAAACTGCAATTTCTCTGCTGCATGACTTCATTGTCTTCAAGTGTATAAACCACAACAAATATCACCATTGTGCTTATGCAGACATGGAGCCTGGTGCCATAAGAAGTCTATACATCTCATTTAGAGATGTATAGACTCCCCATATAGATAGATAGATACTTTATTAATCCCCTGTAGGAGAAATTCAGTTGTCCGGCAGCAGAAACACATCCATCCATATATTTATTTTTCATATATTTATTTATTTGAATGACAGTACTTATTAATCAATGTGTCGGCAAACATCCATCCATTTTCCATCAATTTTCTACCCTTTAATCCATTTCTGGGTCAGGGGGGTGGCAATCAGAGATGCCACCCAAGTCTCATAGCACCAGCCCCTCACTGATCCTCTGCAGGTGGTGAGTCCACAGGAGGACGGCTGCTCTCTGAGTGTGAGCATTGATCTTTCAGTGGGGGCTTTGGGCAAAGTGGGGTTAAGTGTCTTGCCCAAGGACACAACGACAGCAGTCATCAGTGGGAGTCGGTGGAGAAGGTGCAGAGGTGGGAATTGAACCCACGACCTTCTGGGCTTAAGGCCAATGCTCTACCAACTGAGCTACTGTCGCCCCTGTCGATTAGCACAATAGGTAAATGGCATCCATTGTCCTATAGCAGGTAGAAACGTATACAAATACACCGTTAGGTAAAACTACCAACAATAAGTCGACAAGCACAAAGTAAAGAATTAGAAGAAAAGAGAAAGAGAAAGTCCAAGGAAAATCAGATCTTCACACACATTGGAATTCACCCAAACTTTGTCACATGGGGCAGGTCCCTCATTGGCCAGTTGCTACAAGAAGAAACACACCTCAACAACTGATCACACCAAAATAGGTAACTCAAGGAAGCAGGGAAGGGGAGGGACACAAGGTTGTTTAGTGTGGTCGAAAGTACAGGTGCAGAGGGAGCAGGAGGAGGACATTGCCCCCATCCAAGATCATTTACTAAGATTTACTAAGATCTTAGTAATCAAAAGTAAAAGTGCTCTCTAAGTAATAAAGCTGACTAACAATCTTGATCTCTTGTTTTATGATATCTCTCCCCTAAACCATTTGTTAAACATTAAAAACACTCATACAGGTAAAGTGGATTCAAATTGAGCAGGGTGACTTGAAAGGGATTCAGTTATCCACTCTGCCTTTTACTGAACTTAAGTTAATCAATAAAATGAAAGTTGGTAATGAATGGGCTTAAGTTAAAAATATGCTTAAAGACCCAGGCCCATTGTATTTGCCTATAGCCAGCAACATGTAGACATTCCTCCTTCCACGAGTGATTATAGAGTTAAGGAAATGGGCCGATAATGGTCTAGTCATTCTAATCAGTGATTTGATGGAACATAGCTTAAATCCTTTTCACAACTTCAAGAACATTTTGAACTCCCTGGGAGTGACTTTTTTGATACTTACAAATCAGGCATCACATTATGAATCACCAAATTTGGGCAGATTTAATAGAAAACAAAATGACATGGAACAATATTGCCCGATACCATCTCAAAGGTGATCGTGCATGTGCGGATCAACAAAATGAAACTTCATCAGTCAGAAGTCACAAGATGCACTTTATGGATCTGTTCCGCCTCGTCCAATCCTCTGGATTATCTGTTCCCCCAAGATGTTTGAAGAAGATGACATGTCTGGGATCGTGTCTTAAATTCAGACAGAAGACATGTTTTATTGTCGATGGTAGAGACAGCACGAACAACACGGACAGAGAATGCAAGTGTATTATACAGAGCAGAGGCACGGAGACCTCCAATCAGCAGCTTCCACGGTGTGCTATAGCTTGGCCTTCAGATAGACAAAACAAGGGAAAAGTACTGGCTTCTGCACATTGATAGAATGATGAGTTTAACTTTAACAAAAGTTGCTTAAAAGTGTTATGAAATCTCACATGTTCATGGGGATGATAAACTTTGAGAACACGTTGGGTCCTACTGTAGATGAATTACTTCACTCTGTCACCACCAGTGTTTTGAATGTTTTGGATACAATTGCTCCTGTAAAGGTTAAAATGGTCTAAAGCAGACTCTGTCAGGGCACAGAAGCAAAAGGCGTGTAATGAAAGTGACATGCTGTAGATGTCTCAGTGCATATGAAGAGGTAGCTCTCACCAGATGTTTTTGGAGATAGGGGGGGCATTGACTAGAATCATTGACACATTTAAAGATAAAAATGTACCAATGGTAAAGTCTCCTTTCCTTTGCCTGCAGCCAGTTCAGTTGGTTGTGTTGTGAATGGACATCTTAGAACAAATCTGCAGACTGCATTGTAAAGTAAATCCAGAGGTTTTAGGGTGGTTATGTTAGGGATTTTATATTTTTATCTTTCTTTTTAATGTTCTATGATTATTTATGATTGTAATGCTATCTTGTTCAGCACTTTGAGTTGCCTTGTGTATGAATTGTGCTATACAAATAAACTTGCCTTGCCTTGCCTTGCCTATGTTAGAGCTGTGGAAAACAATGTCAGAGTAGTCTGTGATCCGACATGTGGGAGAGGACATGTTTTATGTTTTCAGTGATGTTTTCAGAGAGAGAGAGAGAGAGAGCCTGAGCCTGAGCACAACGCGTTTGAGACCACAGCTCTACAAGACCAGACGAGCAGTGACCCAGCCTGCACCAGCGAGCCCTATCCACGCAGCGGCAGAGCGAGAAAGCTCTGCCTCGTCTGTGAGTAACGCTCTGTGGATTAGCTGGTGCAACCAGGAGAGCCTCAGGCCCAAACGTTGTTTGTGGGCTTAAATGTCAGCTCAGGGTCAATCCACAAGTCCAAACACTTAAAAGTGTCTACATTTGTTAAATTGTTGTTTGATACCTTCTCTTGAACAGCATTGTGCACAATTTTTTCACGTTAAGAATGAGAATATGTTCTCTGAGCCATTTTTGAACACGATTAAACTCGAGCTGCAAAATATTTTGTCTTCCATGTAGCCATGAGCTCACCCTCCCGTTCTACGTTTACCGTAGATAACAGCATAAAAGGGCAACCACTTTACAGTGGCCGTTTTTCGCTGTTCTTTTCCGAAAGAATTAGAAAAATAAGTTAATCTGTCCCCAGTGGGCCGTACAACCGACCACACAACACGAACGGACCATTTGATTTAGTAAAACTGTGATGGCTACACCCCACAGGATGACATCATGAGCCTTGTCCCTCCTGATTTGAAGAGGAAAAAGGGGCGGGCTTATGTGGGTTGGTACAGCTATGGGTAATTGGGCTGGGCAGTATATATATGTTGGGTTATGTTTTATTTGGGAGGTCAGTTTGTTTGTGTTAAGTTCTCATTAAGTTAACATTTGCTTTCTGTAAAGTTCTATTCTTTTGACCTTTTTAATGGCCTGTTTGTCTATATGGCCTATAAACCCTTTTTTGCAAGATTTGAACCTTTGTCTTGGTGCTTTACTGCTTGGTCCCTAACAATTGGTGGCAGTGGTGGGATCATCCAGTTTAGACAAAGGTTTCGTTCATTGTCTTTTTTTTTTGTTTTTCTACATTTTTGTTTTTTTTTCCCTCGTGAAAAATGCCTGGAAGAGGAAGAGGACGGAGAAGGGAAGAGCTGGAACAAAAAGCAGCAGACTTGATGGACTCTGAGGAGACTCAAAATGGAGCTTCTGGAGAGGTGAAATACACTGATGGGTGTGAAAAAGAGGAAGAATGTATGGAGCCTACACTCTCAGATCTAATTGCCATTCTTCAAACACATATGGGACAGCACGAATTCAACAATACTTTCACTGGCCGGGGTTACATAAAGATGTGGCCCAGTTCTGTCGCAGTTGCCCCCAGTGTCAGATAACCTCTCCAAAAATGCCCTCCAGAGCTCCACTTCAGCCCTTGCCAGTTGTGGGGACCCCATTTGAGCGCATTGGGATGGATGTTGTTGGACCAGTTGAAAGGAGTAAATCTGGTAATCGCTACATGGTCGTAATGACAGACTATGCAACAAAGTACCCTGAGGTTTTTCCAGTGAGGAATGTTAAAGCAAAAACCGTTGCATTTTGTCTCGTCCAATTTTTTTCTCGTGTGGGCTTCCCTCAAGAGATACTAACAGATCAAGGTTCTAATTTCATGTCCACTCTAGTAAAACAGGTCTACCAGCTGCTTGGCATCCGGAGACTAAGGACCACGCCATACCATCCCCAAACTGATGGTTTAACTGAGCGGTTTAATCAGACCCTTAAGCTGATGCTCCGAAAATTTGTCAATGACACCGGTACCGATTGGGACCAATGGCTGCCGTACGTCCTTTTCGCATACAGGGAAGTACCCCAGGCCTCTACAGGTTTCTCTCCCTTTGAGCTATTGTATGGGCGTGAGGTGCGGGGGCCACTCTCATTGCTCAAAGAGGTCTGGGAGGCAGACAAAGAGAGGGCGGGACCTGTTAATGTTGTTGCATATGTTGTCAAGATGAGGGAGCGCCTTGAAAGAATGACTGAACTGGCTCAATCCCACATGGCAGAGGCCCAGCAACGGCAAAAGGTCTGGAACGATCAGTCTGCTCGTCAAAGGACTTTCACTCCAGGCCAAGAAGTGCTGGTACTGTTACCAAGTGAGGACAACAAACTGCTGGCTAAGTGGCAGGGGCCTGTTAAGATAATCAAGAAGCTGGGTCCAACTACATACAAGGTGGAATCCCCAGGGAAATCCCAGGCACGGAAAGTGCTGCACATAAATCTGTTGAAGGAGTGGGTACAAAGACCTGGAAAAGAGGTGTTTCTGATACGAGAGGTGGTGGAGGAAGATGAAGTTGAAGAGCAATACTTGACTCCGGCACGCTGTAAGATGGACTGTGATCTGACACACCTCTCACAGAGGCAAAGAATTGAGGTGAGCTCAATTTGTAAAATGTCTGTTTTCCAGGACAACCCAGGCAGAACAGACGTGGTGCAGCATGAAATTGTTGTTAAAAATAATGTGGTTGCTAAAAGGCTCAGTTACAGGATACCAGAACGCCTGCAGACATCGCTAAAGGAGGAGATTGACCTGATGCTGTCGCTGGGGATAATGGAGGACTCTAAGAGCGAATGGTGCAATCCAGTGGTCCTCGTACCGAAAAAAGATGGCACCATAAGG